TGGCTGGAGACCGAGGGAGGGCGACAGTGGCTGAAGACCGAGGGAGCACAACAATGGCTGCAGACCGAGGGAGCACAACAATGGCTGCAGACCGGGGGAGCACAACAATGGCTGCAGACCGAGGGAGGGCAACAGTGGTTGCAGACCGAGGGAGGGCAACGGTGGCTGCAGGCCGAGGGAGGGCAGCAGTGGCTGCAGACCGAGGGAGTGCAACAGTGGCTGCAGACCGAGGGAGGGCAACAGTGGCTGCAGACAGAAGGAGTGCAACAGTGGCTGCAGACCGAAAGAGCGCAACGGTGGCTGGAGACCAAGGGAGGACAACAGTGGCTGGAGACCGAGGGAGGGCAGCAGTGGCCAGAGACCGAGGGAGGGCAGCAGTGGCTGGAGACCTACGGAGGGCGACTGTGGCTGGATACCGAGGGAGGGCGATGGTGGCTGGAGACCTACGGAGGGCGACGGTGGCTGGAGACCGAGGGAGGGCGACAGTGGCTGGAGACCGAGGGAGCACAACAATGGCTGGAGACCGAGGGAGCACAACAATGGCTGGAGACCGAGGGAGCACAACAATGGCTGGAGACCGAGGGAGGGCAACAGTGGCTGGAGACCGAGGGAGGGCGACGGTGGCTGCAGGCCGAGGGAGGGCAGCAGTGGCTGGAGACCGAGGGAGGGCAGCAGTGGCTGGAGACCGAGGGAGGGCAGCAGTGGCTGGAGACCGAGGGAGTGCAACAGTGGCTGGAGACCGAGGGAGGGCAACAGTGGCTACAGACCGAGGGAGGGCAACAGTGGCTACAGACCGAAGGAGTGCAACAGTGGCTGCAGACCGAAAGAGCGCAACAGTGGCTGCAGACCCAGAGTGGGGGAGAGTGGCTGCATAGTACTCCAGGAGGGCAAGACTGGCTGCGGACCCCGAGCGCGCGAGAGTGGCTGAAAAAAAGCAGCGCGCGAGAGTGGCTGCAGACATGGCAAGGGCGAAATTGGCTGCAGACACAGAGCGGACGAGAGTGGCTACAGACGCCCCATGGTCAAGCATGGCAGATGACTCCAGCAGCATCTGTCTGGGTAACAATGGATGAATTCTCGAGCACATTAGAAGCCATCAGCGAGTACACAATCATCCCAGAAGTACCTTTACGGCCAGCTTTTCAAGTCATCGAACAGTTCAAGCACTTGCCAGATTTCTTGGGCTTTCCGGCATTCCTGGCATTTCAACCCCAGGATCACTCTACACACGTGTTCCAAGAAGATCGTCGTTTACCAGACATAGAGGTCATCTATGCTATGACGGCGTTTGCATTTTTTGCAAAAGAAGCACGGGAACAAAGCCGATCAGCCTCTGACGCTCTGAAGTACGCATGTCAAAATTGGTCCTTCCATCTCTCGCGAGCTCCTAGTCCATGGGATGGCGGGCTCAACACTTTATTCAAGCTCTTCTGGGATCGTCACTTGCTCGCCTGGCTCGAAAGGCAGTGGTGCTTGAAAGGCTTGCGGTCTTGTCTCCTTGTTTTATCTGAAGGGCAGAAACTTGCAAGGGTGTGTTCTCGATTATTTTCGTGATCCAGCACCTGACCTGCGCATATAGGAACGCTTCCAAGCTCCGCCGGGGCCATCTCAGTCATGAATCTGAAGCTGTCGATTTTGTACATCCCGTCACGCCGTCTTGTTATTGCGCATTGATTATTTTCATATCATTCTTTTACGTTGTTCCAGTGTCTTTAGCTTTCATTCGAAGTATTTCCAGTAGATCCTCCGCTTCCAAGTCATTGGGCGAGAGAAATAAAAGTGTTGCTTTTCGTCATCCCCTCCGACTATAAATTGAACAGTATATTGTTGGAAATCAACCCGTCAACGTAGCATAACTTTTCTCTTTTTGTGTCGGACCTTCGCTCACTACGCCAGCGGACTTACCATATATAGTAGTTCCACGTACCATAGATTCGCTACGCTCGTTTCTCTCTTTTCCCCAGTCTCTTTTGCTGTCGACTGGGGTAAGTCATAGTCTAGCTATATACCGTGACCACATTCCTTACTGATGTACCCCAGGACTTACCAAGTCCTGTCTATTTAGACGTGCGACACCTTTTATATATCAGGACTACTTGTTGTGTGGGTGTATACAGCACCTCACGATACACCACAACTGCCAGCGTACGACAGGTCAACACTAACGGCACCAATAGATTGTGTAAAGGTAAAATGTGCACTAAGTATATTGTCACCGCCGTGAGGCACGCGCACTCCTCGCGCGCTGGTTCTCAAACTGTTGTTTGATGCCCGCATAACCTGCCCGGTCGACTCGATGTAAATAATACGAGTCACCTCCGCTACCCCATGAAACGCTGCCAGAGCGGTAGGATCGTTCAGAGACGTCAAAGATCGCGCTTATATCATCCACCTGGGAAATTCACATGAGATAAAATGTATGAAGAAGATGGGCATCTTCACTAACGTTGCGTTCAGTAACGCGTGCATTGAGAGAGGAAATGAATGTCTTCAAGGAAATAACAATGGCGCCCTCTTTTATGTAAATCAAGAAACGAGGCACAAATAAAAGAAATTCACTGACGCGACTGCTGGAACACACTATTAACCAGCACAACATCCACCTGAGGTGAGCAACTCAGTGACTCTTGGACTAGTCAGCATGTCTCCTTCTTCTAACTCCACCTCTCTTATCGAAAGTCCCCACATCCTACACCGCTTCTTAATCTGCCTTAGCTGCTCTCTCCCCACCTCCGCAGGAGTAGGCATCAGCTCAACTCCGTAGCTTCTGCAGCACGTTTCCAGGCTCGCCTGCACGAGCACATTTCCCACCCCACATCCCAAGTCCAAAAACAAGGAGTCTTTGTGGAGATGTGTAGCAGCAATGATATCCGCGATTATCTGTACGTATTTTCCCCACAAGCGTAGCCAGTTCCTGACCGCCTGCGCCAGGTACGTCGACGAAGCGCAAGCCAACGTTCTGATCGACGCACTCTGTAAGTAGCCATCACTTCAATGACGAAGATCCCTTTTGAACTTTCTGTTGTAGTCTTGAGGCAACTATGCAGGAATCCAGACGGTTTGTTCTGGGCTGGAGATACCGCACAGACAATCTCTGCCGGGAGTTCTTTCAGGTTCGACGATCTGAAAGCGTTCCTCTGCTGTGTGGAGGTCAGCGAACAATAACTTATCTTCCGGGTCCGAATTGATATCTTCTTACAGCAGCAAAATACTTCTATCAACTCCACTGTAGCATCTCTCTGCCAGCCCACGATGTTTCAATTGGCAATCAACTACAGGTCACATGGGGGCATCGTCAACTGCGCTCATTCTGTGATCGAAATCATCACAAGATTCTAGCCCAACACAATCGATAACCTTCAGCCATAGCTACGCGCCATTCGACCCATGTTACTCCGAGTTCCCGGACCGCCGAGTCCAGCAGCTCCAAGCGCAATGAAACGGAACCTTTGCAATCCTCCGGCAAGTGAGCCAAGGTCGATGACACGGACCCCCAGCTAGATGTAACTGTCCAGACAGGACTCTACGCTGCTGAGATATTCGCAGCCAATGACGCAGTCAATAATCTCCTCGATATTGTTGTCGTCGGTCTGTTGTTCTCCCATTTGTTTAATGACTGTATTTTTACCATGGCTTTCGCAGATAATGTTGTCTGGGTCCGGTATCATGATCGGCAGGGCATTAGTCAATGCTCGGGCATCGACTTCATCGAAGATCTCCCACGATTCATAGTGCTGTTTTATGCGTTTCAGCGATTCAAGCTCGAGGATTGGGGTCGAAACAAGCACTTCAAAGAAGTTGAGAAGGAAGCTTTGCAGAAACTCAAAATTGGAAACGTGGATCTTGTGCTGCACACCAGCGACGAAGACAGAGTGACTCACTACGGACTGAAAGGACGAATATCTCACCAAGAAATCCAAGAAATTCCCGGGAGTCCAAGAAGATTGGATTGTGGTCAAAATCTTCTTGGTAGAGGAGCAACAGATTAGTTAGTCGGACATGTTAAGAAAGGTTTCCGAGATCGCAGAGAAGCAAAAGACCATGGACGACCGTGTTCCTCAGTTTCTTTGGTACCACAAGTTCGAGAATCTCACATCCGCAATCCTGGAGACACTTGGTGTTCCAGAACAGATCAGGGGCAGTCGCGTGCTCTACATCACCGTATCCCGCAAGCTCCGACCCATCATCGAGCTCCAAGGCGAATACCTTTTCAATGTGTGGCGTCAATGTATCTCACATATGTGACTCGTTTCCTTTAGGTGGACTTCCATTGACGTAATGCGCAGGTCATCGTGATCTCTGGATGGGAGGAGTGCACCACCAAAATGTCAGCCCTCCCAACATGATGTACTACAAGACCGACGAGGGCGTTCTGATGCGTGTCTTTCGCAGCTACGATTTATCTTCACCGGCGACTATGCAAGGTCCTTAGTGCAACGAGCGCACGGGCACAGTGCTGTTCATGACGCTTGATCTTCTCACCCCAGAGGGTCAACGAGGCGAAGTTGAACATTTATATGGTCACGATCTCGAGTCCTTCGTGTGGGTTCTCGTGTGGGTTTGCTTGCGTTGCAGGAAGGGAGTACTCCTACCACCGGAAACTCGCCCTTTCGATGCATGGGCGACTGCAGGCCCCGAGGCCTATTTCAAGGAGAAGATATGGTTTCTGGATCATTTTCAAGCCGCCCAGGATACATCCAAAGATCTGGAGGGTGGTGGTGTGCTTGGGAGTACTCGGTTTCGATCACCATCGTCATTGGAAGATCAAAATTGTGCGGGAACTATCATCAAAACCAGGAGAAGGTGGAAGTGCGACCACCGAGGAAGGCGCATCAAACGCCGATGATTTTGTCTCCAAAATTACAAATACCAGGACCTGGCGCCGGTCCAGCCAATTTTTCCCGTAATTTTCCTTTTAATTGTTGACGTACGCAAGAACAACTTCAGGACTATGCAGAGGACCTAGATGTAGCGCAGGCAATTGAAGAGAATAACGAAACATTGTTAGTACAGCGTACTCCACTAGCCTTGCTGCAATTATTAAGATTTATGCTCAAGTTAGCGCTCTCAGCGCGGAGCATTGTTAATGCTACTAGTGCTCATTATGAGTTTCCTCCTGAACTAGAAAGCAGAAATGATAGGCGTGGCGGATCTGGGTCTGGTGATAATGGCCACAAGCCGTTGGACGCGCCTCTTCCAAGGGAGAACTCGAGCATTGCACCATCGAGTTCAACCGGAGAACACAACGTGCGCCTGTAGCCCTAAACCATGTGTACAGCTTGTAGTAAGTGAAGATTGAAAGATATATCATAAATCCTCCAGGCCAAGAGCAACATCGACCAAAATGACATGATGTATACTTATCACCAGTCCTTGCCAGATAAATCGAGGCAAGCTATCCACACGGCCGGTGGATATGTCAATGGTCATCTTGATACGACAAGTATCACAGCATCATAGGTATCTTCTTGTGAATTATACTTTGTACATGGCAAAGTCTCCTCATTTTCAACGAACCCCGATATCGATACTTGGCAGATCGTTACTACACAGCTGGGCGTTGAACCTAGACCCTTCAAAACACTATCCTTGACCATTTGGCCGAACGTCTTTATTTCCCCTCGCAGTTGCTAAGCTAGTGCTTCAACGGGCTTCAACCATCCACACTCCGCAAGTCCACTGCGAGTAATTCTGCAGAAGCGGTACTTGCGCAAGGATATCAAGTACGCGTTCCACCTGCATGACCAACGGATTGTGTTGGGGCAGTTTTGCGATGAGTACCCGTCCTATGACTGACAGACTGTACCATTCACGACCTTGTGTTCGTACCGCCATTAATTTCTGGCATGCCGTTGAGATTGAATTTGACACCTGGTTAGTTGTATGGTATTGATGGTGTGATAGATGTGGCAGTCGTGGACGGAAGCGTTGCGTGTTTCTCTCTTGGGTGAGAGCATGAGAAGGAAATGGAATCCTGTGTTTGTGTTGCGATGTTGGAGGATGGATAGTATTGGACGATGCTTCTTGCAAGGCATTGGTCTATGGGGAGGGGTATTATGATAGGCCAGAGGTTCAAGTGCTTCCTTACCTGCGTGCAGATATGTGTCTAGTTGTCGCTATTGGTACCTCGTAGCAGGCGTTTGGAGTGAGAATCAACGCCCACATTCGTAATCTTAAATGCCTGGCAGGCTAGATGGTGGTGGTCCAATGATGGTCAACCTTCTACGTTTTGCTTGGTACATGACGCACGAGTGACGAACAATCTTCTGCCAAACAAAACAAGGAGGCTATAGCTGCGCGTGCTCAAGCGCTCAAGCCTCGAGCTTCCTATCACAAGAATCTACGTGTTTAGTGCAATGGAAATGACGAGGTGAAGTGGCAGCAACGTGTTGCTGGCAGTAGGTCGGAGGCTATTGGCAGAAGTCGGCACAGAAGTCACCGTGAATCATGACGAAAACAGCAAACAATATACAATGGTTGATTATCACCTGAACCTCGTCAGATCTCATCAACGTAGCATTTTATACACTCTTCTCGTCGGCTCCCGACAACGGATTCGAGCTGGCATTGACCTTGTTTCGCAAGGTGTCATTTTGTTCCATGCTAAATTGCCGGTAGACCTGACTTCCCAGGGTGATGGTCGGACCCTTTGTAAGAACTAAGAATTTACAATATCTTAATCAGTGGCACGCTGGCATTGCAGATACCATCTGTTCGAAAGGGGATTTCAGGTTAGGAAGGTTTTTCTTGCATCGCCATGAAGAACAACATCCAGCACATAAAAGCAAGCCGTCTTCCTCCTGTCCCCTTCAGATTTATGTGATCCCATATCACATCCTCACAAACAATGCGCTTATCCTTTGTCCTCGCCATTGCTGCTGCTTTGACAACATCAATATCTGCCAGTGACGCTGGCAGTGAGAATTGTCCTTTCTTTTGCAAGCATGATAGAAACTGCATCGACTGCATTCCTGACTATGGATGTGTGAGTATGAGTAGTTTGCGTTCCGAATTTAAACACATGACTGACCAGCGTGGTAGTTCTTATTTATATGCGACAACTGATAAGCGGCTAGTGTGGTGTGTTGTGTTTCTGCTTTCGCATCGGTGCAGTGTAGTTTATGGCGCCAGGCGCGAGTTACTAGTAATCTGTTGCTGAGTCGATCAACGTGTTCGCTTCTGAACAAATCTTACTGCCGCTCGAGCAATGGAGATCTTGGAATAGCTTGAATGCATAGAATACGACTGAAGTACCTACGACGCAGTTTTGCAGTCTTGTTGTAAGCTTGAACATAACCCTAGACTGAGCCCTCGATCATCGATAACACCATGACTCCTCCCATCATAAATGCTGTTTTCTGGGCATCGTTTTGGCCTGCACTGAGCCGCTGGGGTTCATCACGACCCCATTAGATGGTGGTATATCGTCGTCATCGAATTGCGGAAGCTCAAGCTCAAGAGCCAGCAACGACACTTGCAAGTTGTGGGAGTGCTCACTGCTCACTGCTCGAGTACTCAACGTCAACGCTCACGTGACGTGACAACTTCGACTATGACTACTGTACTGCTTATAAGTTACCCCCATGCGACCGGGTGCCGTGAGTTGCACAAAATTGAAGAAAGTCTTAGAAGTGAGCATGAGTAGTTTGCTTTGCATCCTGGATTCAGTACTCACTGGTACCCCTTGCGCCTTATTTAAATAATACTAACAGCCTGCCGGTGCAAAGGTTTGCAACATGCATGACTTCCTAGTCCAGCCAGCATCCATCAGTGAACCGGTGAACAGATGAGAAAGTTATGCAGAGTAATATATAGTAGAGCATTGCAACAATCTTCGTATATCTGCTGACCAGTTTCACATAAGATTATTTGGCCTTATTGAGGAAAGACGAATGCACAAGCACGCCAGCCTAATGGCATTATTTGTTTCAGAACCTTTTGAGTTTGGATGTATGTAAGAAAAAAAGAGCGGGCACAGGTTCATGAACTTTAATACCGACTGATACTGAGAGGGTCAAGGAAGAAGGTTGCAATGTACTAAAGTGAAATACACTTTGGCGATGTCCCCAGTGATACGGACACATATCATTTGGCTTTCACTGAATATTTTTTTACTAGCTTAGGGTGATGATGACATTGATGTAACTCTCTCGAGGGCAAATGATATGAGTCTGTGTTATAACCAGACCGTAACAACAGAGTTGTACGTGTTGCACGGGTATTGGGCGAATATCACTCAAAGAAATATATTTCACACAGCACAGACGATGCTCTGGTATATTTTAGAACAGAACCTACTCCTCTTGTACATAGGAGTATGTATTACCTCTCAATGAAGATATCGTCAGTCTTGACTGATTAATGGTTGCCTGTCACTTGGAGTGGTACATTCTATGAAGGGCAAACATCAGATCATTTCTTCGTGTAAAATCAAAAGCATACAAGTTTGATTAACTTCAAAATGTTCGCGGTCGCGACAATATTTGTAAATGGTTCGAAATTCGATGTAGCGCTGTAAGCATACGTAGTGATAGTGCTAAATTGTAATCTTACACAATTATTGTCATCTTTACAATTTGAACTCTTCCAGCCTTTCTAGCCCGAAACATCTGAAGATCTTGTGGACTACTCAATCACCCCATGGGTGCCTCAAAGCAGACGACCGCTGATGTATAGCTTGCTTCAAATCCTTGTCTGATCTTCTGTACATTACAATCTCACAGAATCCTTGGAAAAACTATCGAACAAGTCTTTAGCGGAACTAATGAGGAGTAGCACACATTATAAACATTATGCAGTCTTATTCCGAAACTCACTTACAATAGAACTCAATGCAATGATATCATGGATTACTGAGCCACATTATGAGTACCTCAAGGCAGCTTGCGCATGGTTTACATGTCTTATTCGGTCTTATTCAAAAACTAACCTACAGTAGAATTTGACGCACTGCTGCTTCATCATCGCAATAAAGACCTAGCTGTTTTCATCAAGAAGATCGTCCTCCTGGATCTCTGAGAATAAGGTAGGTCGGTGTTCCCTAACCTCCCATTTGAGCTTGGGAATATTTGTATTTGACGATTGATGCACTGCTGCTTCATCGTCGCAATAAAGACCTAGTTGTTCTCATTAAGAAGACCGTCCTCCTTGTATGCATTATGCGGTCTGACTCCGAAACTCACTTACAGCAGAACTGGATGCAATGATATCGCGGATTGCTGAGTTGCATCATGAGTACCTCAAGGCAACTTGAGTATGGTTTATATGTGTTATTCGGTCTTATTTAGAAACTAACTTACAGTAGAATTTGACGCACCCCTGCTTCATCGTCACATTAAGGACCTAGTTGTTCTCATGAAGCTGAGCTAAAGAATATTTGTATTTGACGATGTCACATACAAGGAAGATTATCGTGGCATACTAAACAACCAGAAGCGACTCGTTGGACAGACTCAGATCACACCGTATTGTACTCAAATCTCACATCCAGTCTCCAGATAACAAATTCGTCAAGTAATGATAGCATTCATGTGATAAAAATGACTGATTAATGGTAACATTAGCAGCAGAGGGAGCAGTGTACTATGTAGGACTGAACCAAGCAAGGAAGATAGTGATCAA